AATTAATTATGTGTGCAAACTGGCATCCCCAGAAAACGAGAAAAAAAACAGTCGGAGACACGTGTAACGAGACTGCAACGATTCGCCGATGTTGAGTTTCTGTGGAACGCCGCGGATGACTGATGAGACGACCTTGTCGCGCGCACGCGTGCCGCCGTCTTGTATGCACATGTCGTCGTTATTCATCTATGATGGTGATAGCCCATACGGAGACGAGAATCAAATTACGAAACTAGGAAATGGGCACGATATATATAATTTTGCCATTTTAATATGCACTGTGATTTCCATAGGTAAAATATAATAATATATGAGTAAAAATTAAATTTGATATTCCTAATGTTAGAAAATGTAAATTATTTTCGCATAAGTATAGATGAAACTATGATTCGGAACAAGACAATATTTATCAAATTATAAGAATCAGCCATTGAGTTAAACGACGATAAACATTTTCAAACCATTTTCATCACAAACATTTTGTACGACCTAATATCACCGTAATATCAAATTTAGATCCAACGACATCTAAAAAGTAAAAAACAATATTACATATTGTAATTTGTAACATATTTTGACGAGGTACTTAATAATCGTCGTCATTGTTTTCTTTATATAACAATGCCGACTATACCTGAGACAATTTTAAATTATTCTATTCGGTAACAAAATGTATATTATGACAAAAATATTTTGTGCGAAACTAGACGGCGAACAAACAAATTTATTATTTTCAATTTAAACACGATAATCAGTCGATTAATTGGATTACAGGCGGTAGAAATAATAAGATGAGCTCATATTGCACATTTACATAACTTTTTCGAGATGATTGCGAAAACGCGTTTATTTACCAATCGCTTTTGATACACCGCCACTATAAAAAAAAAAATTATACATAATATTATTATTATTTTTACATACATGCGTGCACTTTTGCTTTGCTGCATTGGCACGATTGCTGCCGGCTTCAGTACCAATGCTGTCCAGTGATTACAATATTATTATATTATTATTTATTATAATAATAATATGTCGCACACGTGCATCGTGTATATCCAGACACACACATTTGTATATTATAATATTATCGACGAGACAAACGCTGCCGACGCACACGTGGTGTTTTGGTCCAGTGTCGATCAGCCGCTGCGAACACCTACGCACACATAAACACTAACGCTCAGTCGGCAACCCACGCTCACCGCAAACCGTGTGATAATATTATTACGTACGGATTTCATTATAGTAATGTAATGTCAATGCGTGTACAATAATTATTATATTTGAGGTTTATGGAGTCATACGAAATCCGTTCGCTGTCTCTTCAACCGCGGAGGGGTGGAGCTTATTGTATATTAGCATTATAATATTTTACGATTAACGCAAGATTGATCGAAAACAGTAGAGCACTGGAAGCTGTAGTAAAATAATATTGTTGCTAAGAGAAGATGACGACGACACCGTGGTAGTGATAAATGATGCGACGGTTAAAATACTATATAATATATTAACACATATTTATGTTAGATATAATTGCTTCACATAAAGACGAACGTAAACAACAAATTCGAATTATTTTAGACATCTTAAGTTCAACGATTTAATAAAATTTTTTTAGTACTGAAAATTAAAGAAAAAGTTTATCATTAAATCATAAATATTTTCCGATTAAAATTTTAACGGCATTCAAACCTATATGTGTGTGTATTAAACAGAAAATAAAAATAAAAATATTGTAGTCAAAAAAAAAAGAGATGATTGTGATTTTTCTAAAAATATTAACTAAAGAAACTTGTAAAATTTTACTTTTATTTAATTTATCGTTTTCTAAAAATAATGAAGTTTTGAAAATTTTTATTGTACTCATAAGACATTTACATACAAATTTAAACTTTTCGAATTTATTTTTTCTCAATAAAACATATTATGTTATATTTGTTAAAAAGCTTGATAATTTAAAACAACATTTTCAATAAGTAGTACTACCTGCTTAACAACCCGCTTTTCCCAGTTTCACTTAAATAATTCCTTTAAATTTGATTTGATTATTTTAAAATTTAAGAATTTTCAAATGTCGATTATTCTACTTAAAATTAGGGAGCTTAAAACGTGGACTAATTGATTTCAAATAAATATTATAACGAATTCAGATCAGTTTTCAAAAATATTATCACAGTTTTAATCCGATAATTATCGATGCATCGATATGCACAATAATTATTATATAAGTACCTATTAAACTATAATTTTAATGTTTTCTTTTAAATTTTAAATATTTTACTGTTTAATATTAATTTATTGTATTCATGTATGTTTAAAATGTTCAATAAACTTCGAAAGTAGAAACTATACAACAAAAATGTACGTACGTGTAATTAATTTGTAGCTTTAAAATTGTTCAATAAATTAGTACCTATATAGAGAAGTCAAAAATAGAAAGCTACTGTATTTAATATTAAAAATTAAGAGTTTATATCGCTATTATAGTGTTGAGAAACCTTGTGTACAAGATCTATAATTTAGATAATTTATTGATAATAATCAATGGCAATAATTATATATTATCAGCTATCAATTAGTGATAATTAATGAACTGTATTTGCAGCACCTCGGTCGCCTATTATTTAAATTTTAGTAATAGGCATTTAATTTTATTCGAATGTATATAGATATTATTGTATATTAAAATGATATTAATTTCGTCGTAGAAACAATTTTCGTGTTTATATATTCTAATAATATTATTATAATAATACATACGCCGGTTTTTAATTTATAAATTTATAAACCTTACCACTTGGGGGGAACCGCCGACGACGATACCTGCAACCCTTTGAGTGCGCGGGTCGCGGGGAGCGCTCGAGCGCAAGCGCACTTCGCGCACGTCGCTACCACTATCGCGTCTGCCCTCCCGCTCCAGTCCCCCCTGCCCCCAGGTTACTGGCTGTGTGTTGCCGACGACTGCGACTCACGGTAGTACTATTCGAGACGTCGCCGTTAACCGCTCTGCATTCGCGAGGACGTACACACTCGCGTTCGCGCGCGAATTTTTCTCGTTGCGCCCGCCCTACGCGCAATAGGTAGGTACGGTACTTCGAGATTGTTTTTTTTTTTTTTTTTTGTTTTTACAAAGACGATCGTTCGTTTTGAAATATCATATTTCAACAGAGACGACGGAATCGTTGCACCATCGACGACTAAGTACTTAAAATAATAAATCGCGTTCCCGGCGATCCGTTTTACGCGTCAATACACTGTATATCGTGCGTATTTCGTTTGATAGTGTCGCAACGGACGGACAGAAAGTGATAATAATATCGTCTGCAAAAGCGTCGGCGGGAACTTCCGAACTCTCGGTACGTCTCTCTCAACGGCGCCGCCGGCATAGAAGACTGCTGTTGCAGCAGTGCCTATACCTATATTCATCGGCAACGACCATCAACCATTGCAATTATTCAGAACTATAGAGTGGTATGTATTTAATTACTTACCTCAAATTTATGATGATGTAATATTATTTACACACTGTATTTAGCTTATAATTGACTATAGTAATATATATTATATTAATATGTGCGTATTGTCAATTAACCATTATTTGGTTATAACGATAAACGATGAAATGTCGCAGGCAAGTAATTGGAAATTATATTATAATATTTTGATACGAAATAATAGCTTTAAAGCACAGACGTGTACAATAAATTGATAAGAGTCGGTCTAGTATAGTGTGAAGTATAAGGCTGAAATAACGTTTGAGAGCAAATACGCATCGGCTACATGACATGCGTGTACAACCCGATGTGTATTATATATGATATGGTTAAACGTTATTTCAGGGCGGCACGGCTTTGCAGCCGCACGGCGAAACAATACGATAAAAACGAAATATATACGTGAACCCCCACACCCTATACCCACTACCATTCAACATCGTCCCTCCAATAAGATATTATATCATAGGGACATGTGATTATTTTTTTTTCATGTGACGTACATTGTACAATTTGCATAATTTTATATACTATAATTTTAAGTTGTTGTTTTTTAACGCATAAAAATCAAATAATTATTGATGAATTGCGATCATGTATATATTAAGGCAGTCGAATTAAACAGTTATAACATAAATTGTTCATTAAAATTTGAATTTGAGTCAGGAGTTTTGTTGCCGAGTTTCACAGCCCAGAATTGTTTCATGCACGCATACGATTAGACGTTGGTTGTGTTCGAATATCTATATTATAGTGGTCGGAAATCTGTAGCTCTTTAGCATGCAATATGCGGCTCTTCAGAGCATGCATCGATATCTCAAGATCCATAAGATATAAATTAATTAAAGTAAATTAAATAAATAAGTTTTTTTTTATTTTCGTGTGTTACTGTTTATAATTAATTAATATGTTATATTTGTATTAAAAATAATAATAATAATAATAATGCATAATTAAATGTAGGTATTAATGAAATAAAGTTTTTCTAAATTTAAGCCTTATATTATTATGTTTTTAATGCCAATTAATTCCGAATGAAATCGTTTAATATCACCCATTTTTTTTAACTTAATCATTGTGGCTCTCTAAAAATCACGATTTTGCAATTATTTGATAAAATTACTCATTTACACAATAATTATTACGACTTTTATACTTCAACTTGCTACGATAAAACAATGACATATCTTAATTTCCCTTAACCTGAGAAAACTTAAGCCAGCCCTTGTCACCCATTAGTTGTTTTCTGTTATAATTTTTAGATATTATGCCTTGTACGTTTATCTCAAAAAACATTTTTTGGATCTATTTATAAGTGTGATAAAAATAAAAAGCTCATTTTAACCATTTGAAAAAATATTCTTTTCTATACATATATACCAAATAAACATGTACTATATAATACACGTATGTCAACTTTACAGTTTAGCATTTCCAATCTATGGCTCAATTTTTTTTACTAAAAAACTTAAAGTTTTTCTATTTTTCACGATTTTTCTCATAAATTATTTTAGAACTTTATTTTTACTAATTTTCAAGTATAATTAATAATAAAATGGTACATAAATTTAAGGCAGTAGTAATTTTAATCATGATATTTTACATGTGTAACAAATTCTTGTTTATTTTAAACTAAACACAGATACACTCAGAGATATTTTCCAACAGTATTAATTGTCTTGATAATTTAAAAAATAATATGTTGCTTCTAATGTGAGTATCCTATATGCTGTTCTGTCAAATATCGTAGTGAAAAATTTTGCAGTAAAAACGATAAAGAAGTCACCGAAACAAAAATTTCACAGGTATTAAGACATCACTGCAGTCGTCGATATATCTTAATCGATATAGTTCTGATTTTCGTTTGGCCGTTAATAGGATTAAATTAGATTAGATAATATCTTAGATATTTTAGAAAACGAAGTTCAATGACCAGTATGTAGACTGCAACCATAGCAGAAATTTTCTTTATCATTCGAATATGTATATATAAATAAATAAATAAACCAAAAAAAATTTAAAATTACTTAAAATTTAATTCTTTTATTTGTAGAAAAGGAAGAGAAAATGAAAATAAAATTATTTGGAAGTGCGTAAAGTATAATATAAAAGATAGTATGATAAGAATCGAGGATATGTGTGTTGATTAATAAAATCAATTAATTTACAATTACATGCATAGAATATATCGCATAACTTTTAATATCAAATACAAAAAATACTATTTATTTTGTTTATTAATTTATTTTTAATTATTAACTATGACTATATAAAAAACAGTATTAAATTAAATTATAATATAAATGTAGATACCTACTTATATATTCATTATATATTTTTGTATTTTCATATTTTTATCACGACATTTTTTACTGTGACATAATCGCTGCAACATTAACATGTATTGACTTTTATTAAAGCTTATAAATCATAACTCATGTACTCGTTAGTACCTACTTATATTTGTTTAATTAAATTTAACATGTAGACGAGATAAAAAAAAAAATAGTATATTTGCACGTGTGTATATTATTCACTGTAATTTAGTTGTTTAGAATAATATGGAATTTTTTTTATTTTTTATTATTAATCTTAAAAACTAACAAGGATGATAATAAGATCCGATGAACGCACGTGAGGTTTATGGGGAAAAATTAAATCTAATATAATAAACTTCAAATACCTAATTAATTTTATCTACTATTAGGTACTCAATTTTTTTTTCTTAAATCTAAATTAAAAATTAAAACCATTAACTAATGCATAATATATAAGATATGTTATTTATTTTTAATTTTTAACTTTGATTATAAAGACATAATTTGTAAAACACGGTTTTATTTTTGTTTTAAACAGGTACAATAAAATTTATAAATGTTTAATAACGCATGCTAATTAGATATGAAATATTCGTATACCTACCCAAAATTTGGTGGGCCTACACAAATTATTTGTAATTATATATTATGGTTATCAGCTATTCGTGATATGATTTGTTGCAGAACATAAGTAGACTATCTGACGAAAAGTATCATTAATGAAATTTCCGCTAATTATTATACGTATATAATAATGTATAAATTATATAAATTAAAAAATTTATATAATTTAACTACGCAATATTTATTTCTAACTATAACAATAATGCATAAGGTTAAAATAATTATGATTGATAGGTATAATCATATAATGTGTACAAAATGGCTCGGACATGTCTAAGATACAATGTAATGTGCAATTTTACAAATTTTATGTATTTAATAACAAACTATAAACGGTAGACCCTTCAGTATTTGACTTCAAGTGTACTAATTTTTGATATTTCTTTGTCCATACAACGTGGTGTCGCCAACATCGACATGCTCGACACATGTCAGTATTTACAACATCGGTTACGTAACATATTATTATTATAATAATATTACAGCACAATGATTTACGTATCGCATCATCCATTTAAATAAGATTTTTTTTTATTATACACACATGTAATGCAAACAAATTTAATAAAATAATATATTATACAATAGTTGGTCGTTGGATATTTTATTAGCGTGCGGACTGTTAGGCCTCGTACGATCGATCTTCAGATGACTATGCGTCTAGGAAAGATTTATTGAGTGCAAGACTATTTTCCTTAGTATGACACATCGACACACAAACTATAAATATTATTATGTGTGTACAGAACGATTTACTAACATATTCATCCCTTTTATTTATTCAATAACTCAGTTTTTCAAAACCAGATTCTTGGAATTTTCAAATATACATAAGGACTTAATTTTCAAATTCTTTATTATTTTTTTTTTTTTTTTTGTACTACAGGAATGTCCTGTAGAGATTTCACTAACTTTTGTTTTTTAAAGAAAACATTTTTTTCTACCGTAAATTATTTGCACGTGTTCTGAGAATGTTGATGCATAAAAATGCGAACGAGGATACTATAGGTCTATAATAATGAACTTGGAGAAAATGAAAGATATAGTGATTTAAACATTTTTAGTAATTTACATTAATTTATCAATTTTTATATTTATAAAAATGGTCGAAGTATATTAATAATACTATAGATCCAACATTACATCTATTTTTTAATTGATATTTTATTTTTACCATGTATAGTATAAACATCTAAACAATTTAGAAACTAGTCAAAAACTACTGTATATAGTACAAAAAGTAATTTGACATACCTATATATTATTATTGAGTATATTTAAAAATTCCAAAAATTAGTATTTTAATAAACTAATAATTTAATGAAAGAGTGGGGGTAAACATGCTTGTCGAATGACCCTGTACAATATATTAAAATATATTATTATACTGTTCTTCCATCGTCGTCATACAACAACAGCAATAATAATAATAACCATATAATACGCGTATTTTATTCGGTCGTTTGTGTTTCTCGAGCTCGCGAGCTCGTGTGTATTATGGCTACAGTGACAGTCGCCCAGCGTACATATATACATAATATATATTATTATCGTATACATAGGTATACGCGCGCAGTCGGCCGCGACCCGTTATCGGCGCAAGAGATCTCGTCGCCGCGTCATCTCGCCACCACCGGACACCACCATATAGTGTACGCCTGTACGATCTTCGTCGAGGCAATAGCGCGTGCCCCGCGCTCGCACACACTCATACACGGGTACACATAAATATATTATAATAATATATATAACGTACACGCGCGCGGGCTTATCGAGTCGTTTACACGCGTGTATATATGTCGTAAGTATACATATTATATATTATGTGTGTATAATATAATATGTATATATATAATATGTATTATATATATACATACACAAATATACGAACAATTCTACTTACGAGTATATATATTGTGTGTGTGTGTGTGTAATATGTTATATGTATGATAATATTTATATACAACGGCTCACAGCAGACACGCGGGTCGCAATATATTATCACGACAATAACGTATATATATATATATAAGTG